GAGAAGCAGAGAGAGAGACGAGACGAGAAGAGAGAGAATATAAGAGAGAGAGAGAGAGAGAGAGAGAGAGAGAGAGAGAGAGCGAAATGACACGACAGTTCACCACAGCTCTTAGTTTTCATCGTTGCGTGGATAATCTGAATAATCAGATATCGCACTGGGCATGATGGGGAGAAATCTTTGCATGACGAATTCGCGTTCCCACCAGTTCGCATGGCCCAGTCTCCTCTTGTGTAAAAAAGAAACCAAAGCAAAAATAAAAACAAAACAAAAAGCCTGTACATAATCTTATCATGTCCATCGCAACTTCATCATAGGCGTGAACGCTAAAGAGCTGGGCTGTTAGAATCACGTCATTATAGCATAATGTAATAGTAATATCTACGACTATATTATTATTATATAACATCTATGCTTCATCCGGTTGTTTTTAACCAATGCTCCCCGAGTGGGCGGTGGTAGGAGCGAATAAAACCCAAAGCACATCAACGAGGTGGTGGATGTGCTTTTTTCAGGTAATAATTAAAGTTTTACGGCAAATGCAGCACAGTTAGGTGACTTAAGAGCCCTCGATGATATGTGCCACTATAGTGCGGTCATAAATGCACGGCGCAACTTATTGTGAGATACCTCCTCCAAACTATCGAACATAGATCCTCCAACTTTTAGACAATGACTTAAATCAATTTGTCTTAAAAGGTGAGTATTGTATTTTTTCAAACTCCTGCGCATTGTATTCTAGAAAATGCGCATTGTATTCTAGAAAATGCCTTAATAAATACGAATAAAAAATCCCAGTCGATGGTTTCTACAGATTTTAAAAAGTTAACAGTTCGGGCAATATCGCTTTCAAAAGCAAGTTGGTCTTTTTTTTTTCTAATCACAATACTATGCTTATTGAACGTATGTTTAGGGAACCTTTAGTTCGTTTAAGTAAAAGTTTTATGACACTTACACCATAATAAGAGGGTCATATAAGTGCCGAAGATTAGACGTGTTACAAGAGAGTAACGAAAACAAAAAAGGAGACATAACGACGACAGATATTTGAAAGGACAGAACGAACAAACC